CTGAGGCGGGGAAGGTTGCCCTCGGCGGCCGCGTCGAAGAAGGCCATCTGCGGCGAGCCCTCGCTCGGGAGGCGCGGGTACCCGCCGTACGGGCGGTTGCGTCGAAGGGATCTCTCGAAGCCGAGCTTGACTCTAAAGTTCGGGGTGTCCATTGCCGCCGGCGACGGGCTCTGGCGCATCGCCGCCGCCGCGAACCACCGTGAGCACGGAGAGTCGAGAGCTGGGGGTTTTCTCTTTCTTTTTAGACGAGAGGTTGGGGGTTTTGAGAAGCAGAAGAAGCGCCGCCGAATATTGAAGCCGCTCCAAAGCAAAGCTGGCTAAATGGGCCGTGCCAGCAGGGCCAGCCCGTTAGCACGGCACGGCACGAGCTAAAAGTGCCGAGCCTGACACGCGGCACGCAAGGGGCCGTGCCTGGGCCTGGAGGCTGGCCACACGAGCAGCACGGCACGGCATGATTAGCTTTATTTATTTATACAAATTAACCTGTGGTTGAGTTGGTTAGATAGACAGTGGTATCCCCAATCCATTAAGGTTCAAATTCTGGTGCTCGCATTATTCCTGGATTTATCTCAGGATTTCTTAATCTTATCTTATCTTTTTAAGAAGTTGATTCTAATTTTCTTAACATGCAAAATGTCTATCTCAATGTCCCATTATGCAATGCATTTCTCAACATGCATAGAGCTCATCTCAGCACGTATGACATGTCATCAGTTCAACCTAGAATAAAGTTGTTATTTATATTTCCTTATATCACGATAAATGTTTATTATTCATGTTAGAATTGTATTAACCGAAAACTTAGTACATGTATGAATACATAGACAAAACAAAGTGTCCCTAGTATGCCTCTACTTGACTAGCTCGTTAATCAAAGATGATTATGTTTCCTGACCATAGACACGTGTTGTCATTTGATGAACGGGATCACATCATGACAAGACCCATCCGTTAGCTTAGCATAATGATCGTTTAGTTTTATTGCTATTGATTTCATCATGACTTATACATGTTCCTCTGACTATGAGATTATGCAACTCTCAAATAACGGAGGAACACCATGTGTGCTATCAAACGTCACAGCGTAACTGGGTGATTATAAAGATGCTCTACAGATGTCTCCGAAGGTGTTTGTTGGGTTGGCATAGATCGAGATTAGGATTTGTCACTCCGTGTATCGGAGAGGTATCTCTGCGCCCTCCCGGTAATGCACATCACTATAAGCCTTGCAAGCAATGTGATTAATGAGTTAGTCACGGGATGATGCATTACGGAATTAGTAAAGAGACTTGCCGGTAATGAGATTGAACTAGGTATGAGGATACCGACGATCGAATCTCGGGCAAGTAACATACCGATAACAAAGGTAACAATGTATGTTGTTATACGGTTTGACCGATAAAGATCTTCGTAGAATATGTAGGAGCCAATATGAGCATCCAGGTTCCGCTATTGGTTATTGACCGGAGATATGTCTCGGTCATGTCCACATACTTCTTGAACTCGTAGGGTCCGCACGCTTAGCGTTCGATGATGATTTATATTATGAGTTATGTGATTTGATGACCAAAGTTTGTTCGGAGTCCCGGATGAGATCACGGACATGACAAGGAGTCTCGAAATGGTCGAGAGGTAAGATTCATATATTGGATGGCTATATTCGGACATCGGAAAGGTTCCGAGTGATTCAGGTGTTTTTCGGAGTACCGGGGAGTTATGGGAATTCACCGGGAGAAGTAATGAGCCTTATTGGGCCATACAGGAAAAGAGGAGGCAGGCCAAGGGGAGGTGGCGCCCCCCTCCTCCCATGGGTCCGAATTAGACTAGGGGAAGTGGGCGGCGCCCCCCTTGCCTTTCCCTACTCTCTCTCTCTCTCTCTCTTTCCCTCTTTCCTTCTCTCCTACTCCGAAAAGGAAAGGGATTCCTACTCGGACTTGGAAGTCCTAGTAGGACTCCATACTCTTGGCGCGCCCCTAGGGGGCCGACCTCTCTCCCTCCCTTCTTTTATATATGTGGGCAGGGGCACACCAAAGTTTCTCTTAGCCGTGTGTGGTGCCCCCCTCCATAGTTACATACCTCGGTCATATCGTCGTAGTGCTTAGGCGAAGCCCTACACCAGTAACTTCATCATCACCGTCACCACGACGTCGTGCTGACGAAACTCTCCCTCGGCCTCAACTGGATCAAGAGTTCGAGGGACGTCACCGAGCTGAACGTGTGCTGATCGCGGAGGTGCCGTACGTTCGGTACTTGGATCGGTTGGATCACGAAGACGTTCGACTACATCAACCACGTTACTAAACGCTTCCGCTTTCGGTCTACGAGGGTACGTGAACACACTCTCCCCGCTCGTTTCTATGCTTCTCCTAGATAGATCTTGCGTGATCGTAGATAAACTTTTTAAAATACTACGTTCCCCAACAGGTGGCCGTGCTTCGGGCCTGGCTCTTCAACCATTTCCTAGATCCGTGAGTGCCCTCGCTAGCTACTTAACAGAACAAAGTTGGCACCCATCCCGACATAATATTAATCCCTCCCTGTCAAGATACGCATTAGATTTCAAAAGGTCAAACATTTGTATGTTTGCCCACATATATAGCAAAATACATCAACGTCTACAATACTAAATAAATAAATATGAAGTATAATTCATGATGAATCTAATGATACTGATTTGCTATTGGAGACACTAGCAAAAATGCCCGTGCGTTGCAACAGGAGAATGCAAGGTGCAAGAATCAAACTTAGTGACATAGATATTGTAGTGGTGGAATACTTACCATGTAAAATTTTTACCAATAAATCACTCTTCTTTCTTAATTACAATATACCGTGAATCATAGTTGTTCTCCTACGTAGCTCACAAATAATTGGTTAAAAAAATTAGCCATTATTTAGTTCGGGAAATCAGCCAAAAAATTAATAGTATTTCTAAAATTATGTATAAACAAAACTTGTGCCCTGGTTAACCAGTTTGCTACCACAAATTATTTTTCAATGTAAGATTATACAAACAACAATAGATGTCCTAGCCAATTCTCAACACACAGGAGAGTAGAGGCCAAGTATACATTGTTAAAGAATGAGAATATCACTTTTATGTATGGCTGGACGGATATTACCGGCAAAAATTCCTCACAAATAAACATATCTTCTTTGCTCAATGCAGCTTCACCAATCAAACCTGAAGAATTATGTAAAAAAAATCATTGACTTCACATGGAATGAAACTTCATACACACATGAAATGTTGCCTAAAACTGCTAGAACAAACATGTTCAACTGATTTGTTTTCGACACTGGATCAACTCATAATCTTACTTATAGACTGATATGTATGATTCTTATAAACTGAAATGTGTTTTAGAGCAGATAAAAAAGAATGTACAGGGACTGCCAGTTGCATAAATATAATTGATGGCTATATATGAAACATCTACAATTTTAAGAACCAAACATGATCGAGGGAAGTGACATGCATCTGCTAGTATCTAATAATAAAATCCATATGAAAGATAACCTCTATTGATTCAAATATTGCAAGTTCCACCCCTTTGTTTTAATAGAACGGCCACTCAGTCCAGCACATGCCCTTTGTCGTAGATCAATAGAAAGAAAAAGATGGATACACATTTATGTCTACATAGTAAAAACTAAGATTACATATGTCTACATAATGAGATTCATTTGCATCATCATGATCTTACTTTGAAAAATGGTAGCAGCAAATAGAAAGAATCCAATGTGTTAGTTTTGGCACAATGGGAAATTCAGTTTATATACCTATACTCAACACCAGCTATCATGGTCACCCTCATTTGGTTTAGTACCGATCAAGCAGCACCAGGTTGAGTAAAACCAACAAACTTCAGTCACTATCTGCTGGATTTTTTAGGCATCATCGTAAGGAAAGCATCTGAACAGATCTCAGTATTCCAAAATTAAAATTAACAAACCTACAACATGCATGTTTGTGTATAACCTATCTGCAAGCAATATGTTTTTTGAGGATTACATCAAGACTTACACCGACATCAAGGCTACATCGTGTTCCTTCCGTAGCAGATCATATAGTTGGTCCCGGACACCATCCGGCCTCGACAGTTCTGCATGCACCCACCTGCCTATCTACAAGCAATTTTTGTATCATCTCTGGTACTCCATGCGCATAGTTGGCGTGATTATAACATTGTAGGCAGAAAAGGCATCCGTCTGTAATCTGAATCTTCACTGAACTTTTCAGGTTTGACCGTCCAGGAGATCGATCACACAAAATTTGACAACTCAAGCTTTTACCCTTACCGGTCTACCATCAACCATGGCAAATCCACCACATACTTGGCTCCATATTGAGAAAGTTCACCACCTTCATCTCACACGACTTGTCACACTGCATATCCACGAACCAATCCAGTTAATGTTTGACGACTGAAAAAAATTCAGAGTAAATCAGCGAATGCATGAATAAATCGATCAGTGCATTGCAACGGGAGAAAAAAAACATCACACACATGCCACCAAGCTCTAGGACCTTCGCCTCCGACATGGCAATCAAGCATACTCGGCGCCCATGCACTGGGCCGCATGATGATCTTGTACCCTTCGGCCCAACCGGCGACGTCGGCGGCGAGTCAAGGCAGCAACGATAGACAAGTGCTGGCAACCTGCAGAGGATGGATAAGAGAAAGACCGAAGAGGGGGGCTTGTATCTATCAAGCATAAATATTTACAATAAAATCAACCTGATCCGTACCAAGTTGAGCAGGATTTTCGTATAGCTTCCTCTTATATAGCATCTTCATCAGAAAATCCAGCACACAAATATATAAATATGTTTCAAAGATAGTGAGGATCGACAGAGAGTCTTAAAGAATTCTGACAATGTAAACCGTAATAGGCTTGAACCTCCACCAAACATGTAATTTTATCAAATTGACAAGGAAAGTTAGAGGAATTGTAGCCTAAAAAATGGTTCCATCTAAACCATGCTATGTATTCCCGTTTGAGATCTTTTATAGAATCAATAAAATATGACGACATTAGGGATCAAAGATCAAAGATCGACTAAGAAACTCAAGGATTAGGGAATCATACTTACCTTGTTAGGAATGACACTGATGGAATTAGTGAAGTGATGTGTCATGCTCAGGCCAAAGGATCCGTGCGTCCTTGATACACACATGTACGTACATGAAGGTTGCTGGGTTGAAACTTGAAAGGAGATTGATTCATCTGTCAGCCGAACATACACAAACACGATTTTGTTCTGTATCTTCAGCACAAGCACCCCTGTCTCTGTGTTCTCTTATTTCTCTGCACCGTCCTCATCACCTCGGCATTCCAATCTAGCACCTCGGTCCACGCCACCCCGGCGACGTCGCCCCGGCCTGCCCGCCTGCACTGCGCAGCTTCTCCGCAAGCTTCCGACTCTGTGTTTGCTGCGTCAGCCCCAACATGCCACGGCCACTATCTCACGATATGGGAAAAATCTGAAGGGGAGAGGCAATAAAAATCAATTGGGTTCTTACTTTTCCAATTAATTTTCATGTCGTTGATGTGGATGAAGACGCTGTGGTGGGAAGCTGGACGCTACACATGTCGGCGACCATCCCCAGCCCTAGCTCCTATCTTCTTCCTCATGCATGGGGACGGGCCACCCGAACAACTCCTCCATCTCGACTCCTCCATGTTCTACCTCCCGCACCTCCCAGTCGTGGGTTACTCCTATGTTTTCTCTTCTGCTCTCTTCCTCCGCAGCCAGAGGCGACGGCGCACCGCACTCACGGCCGCCATCCAAGCTGATTCTGCGCGCGCGCGGCCCAGCAGGCGGACGACTGCAAGGGGTCAACGCGGGCGAGCATCTTCTCCCGAGACGAACTTGAGGCGGCCATGGCCAATCTTGTGCAGCGTGGGGAAACGATGGACGCGAACGAAAGCGGCCAGATGGAGGCAGCCTCCCTCCTCTCACACGAGCACGGTGGCCGCCTTGTCGTTCGTAGCCATCTCGACCGCCGGGCACGTGGGCAAAGTGAAGTTTGACTTTTTTCGAATGTACACAAATTGCGTACCATATTTTTTATAGAAGAAAGAAATGGTTCTACAAGAATCCTCACGATGATGTGAACATCAACGATAGGTACTCTCACACCATGCACCCTATCTAGCCTACTCTCTCACAAAAAGTTGCAATCCTACTCCATTAAAGGCTAACTTCCAATCTCTTAGTTCGCCAAGAATCGTGTTAGCAAGGCCAGCAGCACCATTTTGTTGTTCGGGTGTTACGTTGCTTCCATAGTGACCATGCCGTGCAAATGACAAAACTGTCAAAACCCCTTTTCTTGGTCGTTTGGAAGCTAGCTCGATGCCGGAGCCACCAGTCTAGAAAAGTGCCTGTCACCAATGTGTGCTCTGCATTGTCTTCATTCTGGAGGCAGGTGAGCCGAGGGCTAATCTTGGAGTCCGTGGCGAGCTTGGTCAAATTCAAATATAGAGAAGTTTGGACTTCATTTTTTTAATACGCCTCATATTTTTGGAACAGAGAGATCAAGTACTGTCATTGAAAGAAAAATAGGTTCAACACTTGGTATCATTTGAAACATTCAAGGCTAATACTCCCTCCTCTTTATTTACTGCATATTAGCTTTGACTTCAGTCAAACTTTATAAAGTTTGACCAGGTTTACAAAAAACAATACGAACACTTATGTTTCTTGATGAATCTAACGGTTTTGCTTTGGCATTGTATATGTTAATAATTTTTTCATAAACTTGGTCGAAATTTATAAAGTTTGATTTTAGCTTTCTATAAACATTACGACTTCAATTCACCTTGCACCATTTTATCGTACTTTGTTGTAGCGTAGTTTCTCAGCCTGGTGCCCAGGAGGAAGTACGCCAGTCTGTTTTTTTTATCAGACAACTAATTATTCTAGGCCATCTTTTGTTGGAGAATACTTATCTGCTTCCAAATTTCTGGGAGGGAGCATTTGGCGTTAGGGGTCATCAGTGGAGACTGAGGACCAGATCTGGATGATATCCCAGGACAGAGGGTTTACCATTCCCAGCAGTCCATGACTCATGCTGAAAATTGGAATGGGCCGCATAACGGACATCTTCGTCTACACTAGGGCAGTTCCAAAGTCCCCGAGATTCCACAAAGCACAGCGAGCCACCACCCGCAGAGAAGCTCGATGGATCGGTTCGCCCAACAACAGAAACTTCTATCGACGAACGGATGGATCGGTTCGCCCAAGAACAGAAACTTCTATCGACGAACGGATGGATCGGTTCGCCCAAGAACAGAAACTTCTATCGACGAACGGATCACAACAGACAGTACACAAACTAAGGAACAATGCCCATTGAGATGACAAACGTGGTGGTCCTCCTTCGCTGCAGACAGGAAACGAAAATTCCACTTCCACTCGACCGGGTCTACTACGGCATTCTGCAACAGCGCCATTGACACACAAACCAGAGTGATCGACTAGTCACCGAGTGCCATCTCACTACCACTACGGTACCCAAAAGAAGATAAGTACGTTTCCTGGCAGGCTAGCACTAGGATAGATATTTACACGAAACAGGGCAGGGCGATCGACGGTTTTCCTCTAATCAGATGGCTTGGAGCCTTTTCCAGCCAAGTGGTCCTTCTTAATTCCCTCAATTGCTTCCCTGCAAACATGAGCCAAGTCAAGTTAGTTCCCTCATCGGCGCCCGGGTTAGAGCAGTCCGCAAATGCGCATCAACAAACACGAAGCGGGATTCTCGGTTCCGTCTCTCCCACCACTCTAAATTGGTAGCGATCATGTACTACACGGAGAAAAAAAGAAACCAAAGTGTACATATACTAGCGAACTTATCAAAACCCAACAAGGTCACATCACTGGAGAGATTCTTGGAAAGAGGAGCACGAGTCAGGATAGCTTACATGAACGCTTTCTCCATCTCAACATTTTCAGGGTCCACCTGCAGCCCAGCCATGAATGCATCACTAGCTCCTTTGTAGTCCTACCAATGGGAGGTCGGCAGATTATAGTGTGTGTATACAGGGAGATGCCATGCAACCAAGTGCAGGGTGAGTAATCTGTGACTTATCTGACCTCGAGCGACAGGAGAGCAGCGCCTTTCCTGTAGTAACCTTTGATCCATTCGGGCCGCAGTTTTATGCAAGTGTTAGCATCGCGCACAGCCTTATCTGCTTCAGTCATTTGCAGGTAGCAAAGGCTCCTGTTTGAGTACAGAGTTGCATCACTAGGGTCCAGCTCAATCGCCTACATCAAAACAGAGAATTGAAAATGGTGAGGGACGTGTCATTGTCATAAGCAAACAGGTCTTTATAGCGAAAGAACGGAACGGCATATGTCTGTTATAACTTGCACATGGCTACTTATGTATGCCTGACAAGAGCCTTTACCCAAGTTAACAAGACAACATTGGTTCCGTAAGTCCATGCCTGTGACTATCATCAATATCATTAGGGCTGTTCACAATTTATGATGGTTCTGAACTGAAACTGAGAACCAATATTTCGAGAGAGCTGCTGAAACTGATTTGAACCGTTCCCAGCAGCCATGTCTGTGTCATGGGCTCATGGCTGTTGAAGGTTTCCAAACAACATAACATGTGTCCAGACTTGGCTGGAGAGTGGAGATCTTATAATACTGTCGTGGATTCAACTATCATTGTACTTCACAGAGTTACTTGGCTTATATCTAGACATATTATACCTGGAGACTGTCAAATAAGTACACTCTTGATTCCATCAATGAACAGATATTTTGAAACAGAAACCCCAATGTTTGTATAATGAGAGAATAAGGTGTACTGTAGAAGTTTCATGCGTATGCTGATATGCATCTTGCAAAGACCTTGAGGAGCATAACGAATACTCATACATCATTCTTCAGATCACTACTAACCTCGGTGTAGAACTTTGACGCGCCATGGTAGTCCTTTCTCTTAATAGCTTTCTCGGCATATGATTTCAACTGAAGATTTGTATTTTTTTCATGCTTAACCTAAATCATAGAGACAAATTAATAAGACAAGCAAAATATACATACAAAATGTACAATGTTCACTGAAGATTAAAGAAGTTTCTTTTTGTGCCAAAAAAGACATTGTTTGATGATGAAACTTCATATAACAACGGAAGACTCATAACCAACTAGGTTGAACTGTTTGTTTAACCAAGCCGAACAGTTGTAGACAGATAATTAGAGGATAGAGTTTGGGACGGATTTTCCACTGGGCAACGAAATGCACGTCTTTGCATCAAAATTGAAGTCTACATATAACACTCACTCATGTCCATCTCTCATTCAAAATGATGAAAGATACTTTTTTGAGCCAGGAGCAAGCGCTCCTGAGCTCTGTTAGTAGTTACCTAAGTTAAAAATAGTGGGCTACGGCAAAAAGTGACAGCCCCAAAATAAGCTACATAGGAGCTAAAGCACCCCTAAATGGTACTCCCTCTGTCTCATAATATAAGAACGTTTTTGCAAGCTAACATAGCTTGCAAAAACATCTTATATTGTGGGACGGAGGGAGTATTTACCAAGGGAGTATGTAGGAAGAGTTTGTGTCAAACTAGGAGTTCTTATCTTTTTTGACGAAACCTCGTCAGAGGGCGGGGAGCTCCCGCATTTGCATATAGAAGAAGAGAGTTGGTCCGGTTAATAAGGGAAACCGGACCCAAAAACCATACATGCATCGGTTAATTAAGGGAAACCGGCGAAGACCACACACCCATGTTAATAAGGGAGTTCTTATCTTAGTTATATCCAACCCAGCATCAACTGCACCCAAGTATTCCAGAGTTCATATCCAATTAGGAGTCCTAAGATGGAATGAGTGGTTTGGTTGAGATTTATTGCATCCAAGGGAGATTTCTATTGTACTCTATATTTATAATATAGGGATATTACTAACCTTGAGCACTACCAGTACAAATCAAATTTCTGAAGTAAATCAGACCAAATCCTCAATTGTCAAGGACTGGAGGGAATAAGAAACAATCTTGCTCAGTGACAGATAAGATCTGAGAGGATTAGTCGTTTGATCAAGGGGCGATACATGATTTACTTCATCAGATGACTCAGGGGTAGATTTGCATGTGAGAACCGAAATAGTAGGAAATAGGTGTTACATGCTAGATATGTCCCCGATCCCCTAGATAATGGCAGTGACTAAGAAAACTGCAAGCACTAGAAGACACAATCAGGTAAAAATGCAACAAAACTCACACAAATATGTGTGATATTAGGGTCTGCACCAACCTTTGACAGGTACTTGACACAATCAGTTAAGCCATAACGTTTTGCTATTACCAACGGAGTTTCGCTATTAGCAGAATTTACATCTGCGCCTGCCTGTAGATATGGATCATATAAAATCAAAAGTTATGGACTATGCAATGCATGTGATAGATTAATATCATAAGAAAACTATATGTATTAACATGAGGTCAAGGTGGACAGTTACCAGACCTCCACAAGCAGCTTGACACACTTCAGTGAAGTAGATTCAGGTACTCCTGAATCGGTACCATGAAGTGCTTCAGTCAGCGGAGTACTTCCCTCTTCTGAGACCTTGTTCGGCTACATTTTTCATTACAGAAAATCTTTAGTGTAAAATATCAACTTCAGTATAGGCAGATATTGAATGCTTAAAAATAATAGATGGAAATTAGAATAGAGACACACAACATGTTTCTGTTCTCATGATTCTCCTTTTATCTGGAAGTGGGATGACAGAAATATCATTGGCCATGCTAATGACAGTTTGCAATAAATATTTTATATACTCCCTCCGTTTCAAATTACTCATCGTAGAAATAGATGTATCTAGAACTAAAATACATCTAGATACATCCATACCCGCGAGAAGTAATTCGGAACGGAGGGAGTAGATTGCTAAGCCTCAGCTGGAAAGACAGTTCTGTCAACCTAACCAGTGTTTATGACATAGTAATAGTACAAGACAGAATACACTATGCTAATCAAATAAGAAATACACATGTTAAAGCAGGAATCTATCCAGCTTCTGCATATGAACAAGGGGATCACAAGCTGTACATTTGACATAAATATCTGCTATAACATCATGAAAGAATTGAAGATCACACAGCTAGGAAAAGTAAGCAATGGTACAGAGTAGCATGAAGTATGACCTGCGGAAAAGCCATTTGAACCGCCATTTTAGCTAACTACTCTATATGTGATTTTGAACTAATATTAGTTAGAACTTAGAAATATAAGAGATGAAAATCTACAGCTATGATAAAAGGCTGTGATAAGATTAAGGCGTGGAACCGCAATCCAACATACTAAATGATGATGAATCTGCATCCTAACAAGGTAGCATATAAAGCACAGATACAAAAACATGAAATATACTCATTACATCTGCATGGTGCTCCAACAGAACTTTCATGACACCAATCATCCCATAGCCAGCAGCGAAATGTAGTGGTGTCAGACCAATATAAGCTACATCAATACTAGCTCCTCTAGATAGCAACAATCGTGCTGCTTCATCACGCCCTAGACATGGTGCAGAAAAAAAAACAAGTTAATGTTACAATGAAAAATAAGCATTTCTTGCACAACAAAAGAAATGTATTCTTAAACATCATCAAGAACCACCACCTGCATGCCTTGGCTAGAGGCCAGGCATCAGTTAGCAACGTCATGATTATTTTGGTGAAACTATTTAAGAGACACGACATGGATAGGATAGGGGTGTCATAAACAGGGGTGCATGGAAGTTAGCTATCCAAGTGCCAGAACCATAACTAGGTTTCGAGATCTTATAGGTTTCAACTCTAGTCTACCCAAACTTGATTGGGATTGAAAGGCATTGTCGTTGCTTTTTCATTTATAAGGGACATGCCAATGCTATAGAACTGAAAAGAACAAGCACAAAATAAGAGCAAAGTATTAATCCACAGGGAGAACAAATAAGACCATACATATGTTATCGTTTTGTTATAATAATGAGACACAAACACAAAATAAGACCAGACGTGTTAGCTTTGTTTACTGGGGACCGGGCGTATTAATTCGTAGGGAGAACAAACTGAACTGAAACTGTAAATGACACCATCTGCTAAAGTCACATGACCAAGTTCATCTAATATGCCATGAAAATAGAATAAAAGAAGTAGGAATACTAGTTTGCTAATTATCAGAACCAGACTGAACATCGCCTCAGTGAGGGTTTGAAATGTAATTTGTAAGCTTACAGGGTTGGATAGCACCAAAAATCAGCATGAACTGTGCAAAATAGCCAAATCGATTTCTTATAAACTACACTTCTGGTAGAAGTGCAAGAATTCAGCATCTAAGATAGAACAAAAACTAGAAGCCACACAAATGATCAAATTGCATTAGTGAGGAGTTGAAGACTGTTCAGGAGAACAACGAGTCACTCCTTCAAATCTTGTTTGCACAGCAACCAACTAACTGGTAAACAAGTCTAAATACAGAAAGCTTAGTGTTCGCGCAGAAGTGACCATGTTTTGCAGCATGGTGAAGAGGATAATGGCCTGAATTGGCTGGCTTATTCGGATCGGCCCCCTTGTCCAGAAGGTACCTCATAACATGCATTCTTCCATCCGCTGCAGCAGCAGCCAAAGCAGTTACACCTGCCAATATAAAATCACAAACAAGTAACTAGTGCTTCTTAGAGTATCTGAAACTGATGCGCTGAATTTTACTGAAATATACACACAAACTGAAAGATGGCGCACACTAGCAACATTGCGAAATCAAGCATAACCGTAACAAGAACACGGAATCAACCAGCACGGAGAAAGCGCGCGCATACCGGCTTGGCTGCCAGCATTGACATCGAAGCCCAGCTCCTCCACCATGCACCTGACGGCGTCCAGTTTCCCCAAGCGTGCCGCGGTCTGGAAAGGGCCCGCGCCGACGAGACACACATCGGCAAGCCAGGCCATCCCCTTGGCGTCCCTGCCGCTCGCCAGCTCTTCAATACAACACGGAGAAATCTGATGTGAGAGACATGGACGGCGGCGCTACATTGCAGAGCGAAAGGAGCAGACGCACGCGCGGACCGCCCCGTCCATTCCCCCCAAACCAAAACCCTAGCAGACGCGAGGCGGCATTGGAGGGAGGGAGGGGGCGGCGCGCGGGCAGACGGTTGACGGATTGGATCGAGGGGGAGGTCGCTCACCCCTGAGGCGGGGAAGGTCGCCCTGGAAGGCCGCGTCGAAGAAGGCCATCTGCGGCGAGCCCTCGCTCGGGAGGCGTGGGTACCCGCCGTACGGACGGTCGCGTCGAATGGCTCTCTCGAAGCCGAGCGCAACTCTAAAGTCTGCGCACTCCATTGCCGCCGGCGACGGGCTGTGCCGCCTCGAACCGCCGTCGCTTTGCCGCCGCCTCGGAGAGTCGAGAGTTGTGGGGGTTTGGGAAGCAGAAGAAGCGGCGACGGATATTGAAGTCGCTCCAAAGGACCAAAATGCAGAGGACCACCTCGTGCGCATTCTCCTAGAACAACAAACGGCCCATTCACTTTACAAAAATTTCAAATCAAAAGGAATAGGAAAAGTAAAGATTAGGATGCAATATATTTTATCCCCCCCCCCCCCTCCATGGCAACTACGGAAAACCTTTCTCCCCTCGATCTCTGTCTGGGAGCCCGTGGGTTCGCCTCCCGTCCGCCTGCCGCTCCGACGGCTGGTGTCGGGAGGGGATTTCTGGTGTCTCGGCTTCGGTTAGTAGATAGGTAGGGTTTTTAGCGTAGTGGTGTCGTTTGGACGAATGCGGCGCTCGTTTTTCGAGTCAGTCTTCTGGCTTCCGACCCTCCTCAAGTTTGTCCATTGGAACGGATTAGACGGAGTTTTAGCGTAAATTCCTACCGGCTTCTCAGGGAAGAGAGATTAGGGTTTTTCGTCGTGCGTACGCAACGGCACTATTTGATGTCAGGTTCTTTAGATCAATTAAGGATTCAAAGGCGATGACCGCGGCTCCAAAGCGCTGGTCCTTAGGGGCACGTGCACGAAGATTCCTCGACAATCATCGACAAGGTTAGTCCAGCTCCGGCATGGGAGCCACGACAACGGCACGTCGGCGGCTCGTTTTGACGGCGGAAATGATCGTTCCGTGGTCTATGAATCTCGATGTGATTTTTATTATGTTTTTAGGTGCTTTGTACTTCCGATGAATTTTTAGAATAAATCTGATCCTTTTCATAAGAAAAATTAGGATGCCTGCCTCCTCCCATCCTTAGAAATTTTTCAAGTACGTTGATTTAAATATCTCCATGAGTTTCTAGATATATACCTTTTAGATATTTCAATATAAACTACATCGCACGATGTATAAGACATATTTTAGAGTGTATATTCACTCATTTTTCTTGTATGTACTTGTATTGGAATCTCTAAGAGGGCTCAGACCGATCTCAAATGCCCGGACCGACTGGCGCGTTCGCCACATCGTATCCGGCCCAAATTGGCCCACCCGACCTCACATATATTCGTCCCCAACTGCTTCCTGGACCAAACCCTAGTCATTACACTCCATTCAACCCCACCAACCAAACGCCCGGCTGTCCGGCACCCCTCATATCTAGCCCAAATATTGGGCGGCCCGGGCACGTCCTCCATGTCAGCCTGGCCCACCACCGACCCCACGTTGTCCCCATAAAAAATCCCAATTCGTCCCCTCTCCGAACCATAGCTCACTCCACTGTCCTCTCTTGCTCCGTCCCCTCCTCTCCCCTCCCCAATTCTGATCGAATCCTACGAGATGTCGAGCTCCGGCAGCCACTTGGGCTCCGACCTCTACGAGGAGCTGGCCACGGATAGTGAGTGAGGTTTTTTTTTTGTAGTGCCATTTGATATTCTGATTGATGCCGGCTCGTGAGTATAGAGAGGCAATGCTTCTAACTTGATCAGTGAAAACGAACTGTTGTACACAGGATCACAAACTGATAGCGTCATAGTGTGATGCATCGTACAAACGAAATTCTGATTTCTGAGAGCTCTAGCACATCATGAGCCATAAGATCATACATACCGAGTACATTTGACGATAAATAGGATGACAGATAGCTGCTAATATCGGTGATAGCTAGGCTAACAGATAGCTGCCAGTTTTGGTGATAAAACTGGACCAAGTTGCAATGGAAGTGGTCATTGCAAACGGTGCAATTGAAAAAGCAATCTCACAGTCTCACAGCTACAGTGTACATTTCCTCAATATTGTGTGAAATTCAGTCAAATCCATAGTGATGCAAGCGGTGGCTGGCTGTGGCTTAGTACAATCCCCTACGTACGTTGTTGGAGCAGCTCAACGGGTGTTGCGGCCACGCCCTTTGCGTGCCTGTTTTTCTCTAGCTGGATGGCTTGAAGCATTTTCTCTTTTTTTGGCCATGTCATCCTTTTTCATCGCCTCAACTGCCTCCCTGCAACCAGGGAAAAAACAAAACTGGTTTGTCAGCCCTTCAATTTAGGCATCAATTATATTTTACCCTCACAAACACAAGCATTTCAATTCAAGAAACAAAGGAGGAGTTGGAGTTTCCTTCTTATTAGAAAAGGCTGAAACATAATTTAGGAGCTTACTGCAATACTTTCTCCATCTCGGTGTTTCCAGGGTCCAGTTTCAGTCCGGCCTCGAATGCGTCACATGCTTCTTTGTACTCCTAAAGATGGACAGCTAGGCAAATTATACGAGTGGAGGCGATGGCATACACACACAAGTGCAGATCAGGAAACTAGAATTCTCACCTTGAACGACATGAGAGCAGCTCCTTTCCTGTAGTAACCTTTTAACCATTCGGGCCGCAGTTTTATGCAGGTGTTAGCATCACGCAATGCCTTACCTGCTTCAGTCATTTGCAGGTAGCAAAGGCTCCTGTTTGCGTACAGCGTCGCATCACTAGGGTCCAGCTCAATTGCCTGCATATCAGCAATAAAATACAGGTTAACAGGACAATAGTGATTCCAAGTATATCAGCAATAACATACAGGTTAACAAGACAATACTGATTCCAAGTATATCAGCAATGACAAGCAGGTTTATTTAGTGATGCTTCAAGTTGGTATCAGTATGAACCTGAGAACCGAGGTTTCTCAAACCTCTGGACCTATGACTGCTGAAGCCTTATTTTTTCAAATAAGAGAGGGCTGCTGAAGCGTTATTTGTTTGTGCTGTTGCCAGAGCTAATGCCTTAATGGCTATCAAAGGTTTACAGACAACAAGAATATACAATACTCCCTCCATAAACTAATATAAGAGCTTTTAGATCACTAAAATAGTGATCTAAACGCTCTTATACTAATTTACAGAGGGAGTACATCTCAAATTCGTCCGGAGTAGCAGATAGATATTTGGCTTAGAGTTGGACAGATTATCAACTGAAATAATTCAAATGGTGGAAGTCCTGTCAACAATACCAAAACATATAATAAAATACTCCCTCTGTACAACACAAGCAGAATCTCTCCTTGTATGTTTACAGGAAAGGTGAAAAAAGTTTTGCGCACATGCATATTGTAAGGAACATAAATCCAAACAAACAAATGCTACTGTTTTTACTCTCCACCTTATTTTTATAAGATAAGAACACAAAAGAGATAGATTAAACAACCATATATACATCACATCAGGTCAACAAGTAATGCTACAAAGATTGAGTATTCCTCACGTGCACAATTTATCCACATCAATACTAACCTCGCTGTAGAATGCGGACGCGCCACGGTAATTCTTTCTCTTAACAGCTATGTCACCGCAAAGTTTCAGCTCAGCCTTTGTGTTTTTATCATCTTGCTCATCCTAAATCATGGACATTATTAGTTAAGCCAAGCAAAATAAAGATGCAAAATGTACAAGGTTGATGAATATTGAAAAGGTAAACTGAGAAAGCAGACTAACAGTACGCAGATCGATTCTCTGAACTTAACTGAGTCATACAGAGTTGAAACACAAGAATATCAACTAGCCCGTTTTCAAAAACAGGGAGAACAAAGCGCAACATATGAAAAATACACGCTGCAAACTGGGTTTTTTTTTTAGACACTAGTGCCTCGCAGAATTAGCCTAAATGTGCTGCAAAACTCGCATTTGGTTTGAGACATCCATCAAAGGTCAGTCCGTTAAGCAAACATTGTTTGAGTGGAAGGGGATGGAACCAACTTCCAGCCGTGAATGGCGAAGAACTGGGAGACGGAACCCAAAATTGAACTGGGAGATGAAGTAAACTCACCATCCTTGCCTTGCCGCCTATGGAGCCTGCCGTGGATCGCCTCCTTCTGCCTGCTTCTGATCGTCGCACACTGCTGCTGGGTTTCTGGGTTTCGGCCTGCTATCACCGATGAGACAGATAGCTGGGCTTAAAAAATTAATCATCTACCCGTTGCAGCCTAATCGCTATCAGGCGAAGGAAATTCGTTGAGGTGGAGACAGACTATACTAGCACACACCTGAACCTGCCGAGCGTGGTGGGGTCGAGGGTCGGGGATGGTGGCGCTGGCGCGGCGATCTTCCTCTCCGATGCGGGGTGGGAACGGCGGTCGCCGCAGTAGCGAGGAACTGTGGCGGCGATTTAGGTCTCGGGTCGGGTCGGGTGTGGGCAGGCTGTGCGGCTTCCCTCAATCAGCAGCGATGCGTTGATTGCAGGCCTTGGGCAGCTGGGCCTGTGCGTGCAAATCAATAGCCCATCTAGGTCCGAACTTGGCCCAGGGCGCGACTATGTCTCCCAAATCTCTTCTCTCTATTCCCTCAAAAAAAAAATCTCTTCTCTCTAATTAAAGAGTACTTTGTCTCAAAAAATAATAAGTAAAGAGTACTTTTACAAAGGCCACTCTCATCTGATATTCTGATTGATGCCGGCTCGTGAGTATAGAGAGGCAATGCTTCTAACTTGATCAGTGAAAACGAACTGTTGTACACAAGAGCACAAACTGATAGTGTCATAGTGTGATGCATCGTACGGACGAAATTCAAGAATCACATGGGAGAAATAGCATGATGTTCAACAGTTATCTATAATTGCATGTTTCTTCTATAGTTTTTTTATACCCAACAGTTATATTTGCTCTGCTTCCATGTTTGCAGAGGTGGGTTGGTGCCGCTCCCGGTCTGCATTTTCATTGTAAATACTGTAGTTTAGCAAGATAAGTCATGCTATTCATGTTTCTTGTTTTGAAACTACCAACGACACGTTCATGGCCCAAATGTTTCCTCTAACTTTATAATGGCTCAATCATTCAGTACTCATCATCCTTTCATCGTAACACAAAACAGAAAAATACAGTTCAGACGGCCAAAATAAAATGAGAACTGTTAATAACCAAAGTACTAACAAACACTTCCAAAAGTTCAAAGCAACCACTGTTGATAGTACAGTTCACTGTTAAATCAACCACTTGTTGCGTCAAAGTGTGAGCACTGTGGGTAAAGCTTTTTTGCTTGATGGTCAGCCCTTATCGTCTTGTTGGAGTGGATTATGGCAAACGACTCAATCCCCGCGGTGATTCTCTTCTTCAGTGAAATCTTCTGCCTTTTAGTCCAGGCGAACCTGGTGGGCTTCTTGTCCTGGCAGTTGCCGCACTCCAACTCCAACCTACTATAGAGGAACACATCCTCTAGATTGACCGCTGCCACCATGACACGTCTGACATAATTAACAGCATAATCTTCAGATTCAAAGCCAAAGATGACGAGTGTGACCAAACTGTGGTGTTGGAAATCAGCTGCAGCCGCGCTCCACTCTACACCCTTGTTCTCACTATACGATTCCTTTTTTCTCTTCTCCTCATCCATTTCCATTGAACACAAATCATCCCAGACCTGCATCTCAGCAATAGGACAAAGATAAAAATAAACTGTCTTTAGCCATATATAATACGTGGTAAGAAAACCATGAAAAACTAATATCAAGCACATGTGGCTAAAAGAGAACTTTAGGAAAGCACATACTGTCATGTATAGCTCCTTCAGTAAGGGTGCAGCTTCAAGAATAAACATTGTCCAGGTGAGATCATACCCTTCAGGAAGTTTAACAAGGTTCACAAACCTTAGTTGGCGGAACACAGATGCCAGATCTTGCGTTGGACATTCTGGCTGCACCCAAATCTGCAAATAATATACACATGATAAGATGACCAGAGCAGAGAAGAAGTGAAGCCACAGCTAGGAAAGCAACAATCTTGGCTTACCATTTCGGACCTAAACCCCAACTTCAGAACTCGTGGAGAGGCACTGCCAAGAAACCTACTTAACTTGACCATCTTGTTGTAACTAAGGGCAACATTTGTGAGGCTTACAGACTCGAGCAACGGAACATGACCAAGAACCAGTGGATCTTGGAAATCTATCCAACCGTCAAAGACTATGCTTGTGAGCTGAGGGAGCCAGTTCAGCTTAACTTGCTCGAGACGACAATATACGATACAAAGCTCACTGAGATTAGCGTGTTCAACCTGCAGGGTGCTATGATCACCAGAGTCACAATTGTACAAGTGCATACGCTTCAGCCGCTTGCAAGTGGTGAGGATGCTGGATATGTCTGACTCACCAAATCTCAAATTCCCTATGTTGAGACTAGTGAGACCACCAAATGCAACTGGAGAAGCATCAAAGAACAACATGAATCGTCTCTCCCAGATGACCAGTTCTTCATCATCATCAATTTCATCATCGTCATCCTTCCTTGTCCTAACACAAAATTTGGCATTCTTGACTAGGTGCGTCGCCATGGCATGACCAACGGCGTGCCCGATGGATATGGGGATATCATCTACCAAGTGGAACGTCATGGACAGAAGGCCGATGGTGTGTTCACCTGGATTTCTGCGCGCCAGCACGCTCTTTGTTGCCTGAACCACGGCTGCATTGATCCGAACCAATTCATCGTCAGAGATGTTGGCACTGCTGCGTGACGCGTCCTTGGGCAGGAAGTCTAGAGAACTTATTATAAGCCGAGAGAGCTTGGCGCAGAGCTGACCCCACCGACTTGAGAGGACGATGGTTCTTGCAGCATCGCGTACACTGAGTCGGTCAAAAATGTTGACCAGAATGTCATCCGGCAATGCGCTGAGCCTGTCATCTTTATTGCCTTTCTGCAATTGGCATGGACATCAATAAGAGTTGATTTCAGACTTAGTAAAGCAATTTCTACACAGTTGCAAAGATGCAATTTCAATGATAAAAGACACAGACTTGCATATGTTTTTGCCATACCAAAACTGCAATTATCAAATATACAATTTTGATTCAGTCGCAAAGATGCAATTTTTACAGTCATAAAAATGCAATTTTGATGTGAAGTGCAAACTCTCTGAAAAGAAAGGATCCGGCAAGGAAAAGAGGACAATGAACTCACTCACCCCCATGGCTCCCGCGTAGATCCGCCGATGCTCGAGAAGAATTATCACGAACAAGGAAATATAATAATAATGCTTTTATTATTGCCTCTAGGGCATATTTCCAACAGTCTCCCACTTGCACTAGAGTCAATAATCTAGTTACATTGTGATGAATCGAACACCCATAGAATTCTGGTGTTGATCATGTTTTGCTCTAGGGAGAGGTTTAGTTAACGGATCTGCTATATTCAGGTCCGTATGTACTTTACAAATCTCTATGTCTCCATCTTGAACATTTTCACGAATGGAGTTGAAGCGACGCTTGATGTGCCTTGTCTTCTTGTGAAACCTGGGCTCCTTGGCAAGTGCAATAGCGCCAGTGTTGTCACAGAAGAGCTTGATCGGCCCCGACGCATTGGGTATGACTCCTAGGTCGGTGATGAACTCCTTCACCCATATTGCTTCATGTGCTGCCTCCGAGGCTGCCATGTACTCCGCTTCACATGTAGATCCCGCCACGACGCTTTGCTTGCAACTGCACCAGCTTACTGCCCCACCATTCAAAATATACACGTATCCGGCTTGTGACTTAGAGTCATCCAGATCTGTGTCGAAGCTAGAGTCGACGTAACCCTTTACGACGAGCTCTTCGTCACCTCCATAAACGAGAAACATTTCCTTAGTCCTTTTCAGGTACTTCAGGATATTCTTGACCACTGTACAGTGTTCCTTGCCGGGATTACTTTGATACCTTCCTACCAAACTTACGGCAAGGTTAACATCAGGTCTGGTACACAGCATGGCATACATAAAAGAACCTATGGCTGAGCCATAGGGGATGACGCTCATCTCTTCTATATCTTCTGCCGTGGTCGGATATTGAGCTGAGCTCAATTTCATACCTTGTAATACAGGCAAGAACCCCTTCTTGGATTGATCCATATTGAACTTCTTCAATATCTTATCAAGATATGTGCTTTGTGAAAGACCTATGAGGCGTCTTGATCTATCTCTATAGATTTTGATGCCTAATATATAAGCAGCTTCTCCAAGGTCCTTCATTGAAAAACTTTTATTCAAGTAGGCCTTGATGCTGTCCAAGAGTTCTATATCATTTCCCATCAAAAGTATGTCATCTACATATAATATGAGAAATGCTACAGAGCTCCCACTCACTTTCTTGTAAACGCAGGCTTCTCCATAAGTCTGTGTAAACCCAAACGCTTTGATCATCTCATCAAAGCGAATGTTCCAACTCCGAGATGCTTGCACCAGCCCATAAATCGAGCGTTGGAGCTTGCACACTTTGTCAGCATTCTTAGGATCGACAAAACCTTCCGGCTGTATCATATACAATTCTTCCTTAAGGAAACCATTAAGGAATGCCGTTTTGACGTCCATTTGCCATATTTCGTAATCATAGAATGCGGCAATTGCTAACATGATTCGGACGGAATTCAGCTTCGCTACCGGCGAGAAAGTCTCATCGTAGTCAACCCCTTGAACTTGTCGATAACCCTTAGCGACAAGCCGAGCTTTATAGATGGTCACATTACCATCCGCGTCTGTCTTCTTCTTAAAGATCCACTTATTTTCTATGGCTCGCCGCTCAACGGGCAAGTCAGTCAAAGTCCATACTTTGTTTTCATACATGGATCCTATCTCGGATTTCATGGCTTCCAGCCATTTGTCGGAATCCGGGCCCGCCATCGCTTCTTCATAGTTCGAAGGTTCACCGTTGTCTAACAGCATGATTTCCAAGACAGGGTTGCCGTACCACTCTGGCGCGGAACGTGTCCTTGTGGACCTTCGAATTTCAGTAGGGGCTTGATCAGAAGTATCTTGATCATTATCATTAACTTCCTCTCTAGTCGGTGCAGGCACCTCAGGAACATTTTCTTGAGTTGCGCCATTTTCCGGTTCAAGAGGTAATACTTCATCAAGCTCTACTTTCCTCCCACTTACTTCTTTCGAGAGAAACTCTTTCTCCAGAAAGGACCCATTCTTGGCAACAAAGATCTTGCCTTCGGATCTTAGGTAGAAGGTGTACCCAATAGTTTCTTTTGGGTACCCTATGAAGACGCATTTTTCCGATTTGGGTTCGAGCTTTTCAGGTTGAAGTTTCTTGACATAAGCATCGCATCCCCAAACTTTTAGAAACGACAGCTTAGGTTTCTTCCCAAACCATAATTCATACGGTGTCGTCTCAACGGATTTCGACGGAGCCCTATTTAAAGTGAATGCGGCAGTTTCTAAAGCATAGCCCCAAAAGGAAAGCGGTAAATCGGTAAGAGACATCATAGATCGCACCATATCTAACAGAGTGCGATTACGACGTTCGGACACACCATTACGCTGAGGTGTTCCAAGCGGCGTGAGTTGTGAAACTATTCCACATTTTCTTAAGTGTGCCCCAAACTCGTGACTCAAGTATTCTCCTCCACGATCTGATCGTAGAAACTTAATTTTCCTGTCACGTTGATTTTCAACCTCACTCTGAAATTCCTTGAACTTTTCAAAGGTTTCAGACTTGTGTTTCATTAAGTAGATATACCCATACCTACTTAAATCATCAGTGAGGGTGAGAACATAACGATAGCCACCGCGAGCCTCAACACTCATTGGACCGCACACATCAGTATGTATGATTTCCAATAAGTCGGTTGCTCGCTCCATTGTTCCTGAGAACGGAGTCTTGGTCATTTTACCCATAAGGCATGGTTCGCATGTGTCAAATGATTCATAATCAAGAGACTCTAAAAGTCCATCAGCATGGAGCTTCTTCATGCGTTTGACACCTATGTGACCAAGGCGACAGTGCCACAGGTATGTGGGACTATCATTATCAACCTTACTTCTTTTGGTACTCACATTATGAACATGTGTAGCATCACGTTCGAGATTCATAAAGAATAAACCATTCACCATAGGAGCATGACCATAAAACATATCTCTCATAAAAATGGAACAACCATTATTCTCAGATTTAAAAGAGTAGCCATCTCGAATTAAACGAGATCCCAATACAATGTTCATGCTCAAAGCTGGCACTAAATAACAATTATTAAGGTTTAAAACTAATCCCGAAGGGAGATGCAGAGGTAGCGTGCCGACGGCGATCACATTGACCTTGGAACCATTCCCGACGCGCATCGTCACCTCGTCCTTTGCCAGTTTCCGCTTATTCCGCAGCCCCTGCTTTGAGTTACAAATGTGAGCAACTGCACCGGTATCAAATACCCAGGAGCTACTACGGGCACTAGTAAGGTACACATCAATTACATGTATATCACATATACCTTTTGTTTTGCCGGCCTTCTTATCCGCTAAGTACTTAGGGCAGTTCCGCTTCCAGTGACCGCTTCCCTTGCAATAAAAGCACTCAGTCTCGGGCTTGGGTCCATTCTTTGGCTTCTTCCCGACAGCTTGCTTACCGGGCGCGGCAACCTCTTTGCCGTCCTTCTTGAAGTTCTTTTTACCCTTGCCTTTCTTGAACTTAGTGGTTTTATTGACCATCAACACTTGATGTTCCTTCCTGACTTCTACCTCTGCTGATTTCAGCATAGCAAATACTTCAGGAATGGTCTTTTCCATCCCCTGCATATTAAAGTTCATCACAAAGCTCTTGTAGCTTGGTGGAAGCGACTGGAGGATTCTGTCAATGACCGCATCATCCGGGAGATTAACTCCCAGCTGAGTCAAGCGGTTATGCAACCCAGACATAGTGAGTATGTGCTCACTGACAGAACTGTTTTCCTCCATCTTACAGCTGAAGAATTTATCGGAGACTTCATATCTCTCGACCCGGGCATGAGCTTGGAAAACCATTTTCAGCTCTTCGAACATCTCATATGCTCCATGTCTCTCAAAACGCTTTTGGAGCCCCGGCTCTAGGCTGTAAAGCATGCCGCACTGAACGAGGGAGTAGTCATCGAAACGTGCCTTCCAAGCGTTCATAACATCTTGTTCTGCAGGGAGAACGGGTGCGTCACCAAGCGGTGCTTGTAGGACATAATCTTTCTTGGCAGCTATGAGGATGATCCTCAGGTTTCGGACCCAGTCCGTATAGTTGCTGCCATCGTCTTTCAGCTTAGTTTTCTCTAGGAACGCGTTGAAGTTGAGGACTACGTTGGCCATTTGATCTACAAGACATATTGTAAAATATTTAGACTAAGTTCATGATAATTAAGTTCAACTAATCAAATTATTAGTGAACTCCCACTTAGATTAGACATCCCTCTAGTCATCTAAGTATTACATGATCCGAGTTAAACTAGACCGTGTCCGATCATCACGTGAGACGGACTAGTCAACATCGGTGAACATCTTCATGTTGATCGTATCTTCTATACGACTCATGCTCGACCTTTCGGTCTTCTGTGTTCCGAGGCCATGTCTGTACAAGCTAGGCTCATCAAGTCAACCTAAGTGTTTGCATGTGTAAATCTGTCTTACACCCGTTGTATGTGAACGTCTGAATAAAACACCCGATCATCACGTGGTGTTTTGAAACAGCGAACTGTCGCAACGGTGCACAGTTAGGGGGAACACTTCTTGAAATTAGTATGAGGGATCACCTTATTTACTATCGTCGTTCTAAGTAAACAAGATGCAAAACATGATAAACATCACATGCAATCAAATAATAAACGTGACATGATATGGCCAATATCACACAGCTCCTTTGATCTCCATCTTGGGGCTCCATGATCATCTTGTCACCGGCTTGACACCATGATCTCCATCATCATGATCTCCATCATCGTGTCTCCATGAAGTTGCTCGCCAACTATTACTTCTACTACTATGGCTAACGCGTTTAGCAATAAAGCAAAGTAATTTACATGGCGTTTCTTGATGACACGCAGGTCATATAAAAGAATAAAGACAACTCCTATGGCTCCTGCCGGTTGTCATACTCATCGACATGCAAGTCGTGATTCCTATTACAATAGCATGAACATATCATACATCACATATAGATCATTCATCATTCATCACAACTTTGGCCATATCATATCACAAAC